AGCCATCGTGCTTACGGTTGCAATGTTTTCCCCACTATCAGGGAACAGCCTCGTCGTCTTCTAAACTCAGTTACTCACTGCCACCTCCTGCCAGAGACCTTGCTCCCACCAGCCTGCTGGAGCTTATCCAGCTGAGTACGCCTGCCGTGGGAAGAAACGCTCCGGGCTCCAGCTTCAGTAGAGGAGCAGTGGTCTCTTCCACCGACTCCGCTGGATCTGGAATGGGATGTTTCCATGTGCTGTCAGCACCAACTCTTTAACGCTGTCGCTTCAGCTGGCCCCCTGGGAAGCCCAAATGTCAGCACCACCCCCTCCCAGTAAAGGAATGCCCAACACACATGCAGCACCGAGGGAAAGCTCTGTGATTCTGCCCCAAGGCAGGTGTCTATCATAACAAACACCACCTCCTTCCCTCGCTCTGCTCTTCTTTCCAATTTAAATAGGAAGAGAATTATCTCACGCCCCCCAAAAAAAAGCCTTGAAGTCTTGTTCAAACAGAAACATGGGTTGCCTGGGCTGGTTCAAACACAGGGTCTAATTAATAGAAGAGAGCTGAAATAAACAGAGGAGAAGTTGTTTATTTTCTAAATAAGTCTAAATTTATTCATTACCCTAGTAAAAAAAAGTTTGGATTACAAGTGTCTGAACAGTATAAAAGTACAAAACAGGTTCCATAGATTTCTAATACATTAATACAAAGTGCATGACTACATACAGTTCATTTTGCATTACTACTGGGAATGGAAGAGGTGGGAGGGAGTAGGGGAAGCAGTTGGCGGCTGAAATCTAGCAATAAATAAATAAATACAGAAGAGATGATCCGTATCAGAGCACATCCTACCACCAATACTGCAGCCTTAGGTGTACAGAATTACTGATGCTGAAAACAGAAATTCAAATGAAAGCAGGTATCTGCAAAACCAGCTACGACTCTTGCTCAGGCCCTTATTAGACATGACCAACCTAATTAAGCTGTTATACAAGCAAGTATCCATTATATCTACGGTTGGATTCTATGATCTTCAAGGTCTTTTCCAACCTAAATGACTCTATGATTCTATTTGGTTGCAGATGAAAGCAAGGTAGGCGGCTTTGTCCTCCCTTCAGAATCTCAGAGAGTTTAGGAAAAGCAAAAACAAGACCAATGAAAGCTCTGAGTTGTAAGGCTGTGATAAGTCAAAGCCCTGATTCCCCTGATGTTCTTTCTCTCCAGAGGTTGGCTTACCCAACGGAAGGAGAGGGAAAAAAAAAAAAAAAAAAGGAAAAAAGAAGAAAGCTTTGAGGGTAGAGGCTCCTCTTAAAACCTGCGTATCTTTCCCTGCCTATATTTTCATTTGCTAAGCATTCCCATTTCAGGAAGTGAGATTACATGGAAATCCAGTCCTAACCCCTACCCACCACAGTATTATGCTGATGACTCTCACAGAAAGGAAAGCCTGTAGCAATCCGTTGTAGAACATCCCAAAAGAGTAATAGTAAGAAAAATCCCCCCTCCCCCCAAAACAGAAACAAACAAAAAAAAGCAGAATTCCCAACTTATACAAGTTAAACCTTCATAAAAGGAACATGAAGCAATTGGGAGCTAAAACTGCAGCACACTCTTCCAGGAAGCTGCTTCCACCCTACAGGCAAAGTGGAGTTTGACGGAGCGCCACAATGGTTTGCACACGAGTTTGCCTGGGAACCCATGGAAGAAATACTATCTTTTGATCATGTATGCAAACAGAGCTGCCTCGATTCAGTACAGCACCATTCTTAACAGAACTTTTCATATTCAATATTCACAAAAAGCATTGATCTGGTGGTTGTTTAAACAAACAAACAAAACCCCAAAATCCAAACACAGAGAAGCACTGCAGGGGAAGGGTTCCAAAACGGCAATCATGAATCCAGACCCCAGGCTGCCATCAGATTATGTCCCTGGACAAGAGCCTGACTTGCTTAGCGAGGGGTTTGGTTCTAGGTCAGGTCCAAAACCAGCAGGAAGTCCAGTCTGTGGTCACATTTCAGCTGCACTGGGCCATCAGATTGCAGTTACTCAGTTTTGGCCATCATCTACACCTAACTTGGGCATCAAGATGTTTTCTTGGTCCATCTCTCATCACCAGTCAGTTACTGCATGAAGCCCAGGGTGTCTCTACAAAATAGCCTCCCATTTCACTGTGTTCAATTCTTAGGCAAATCTTCCTCCCCAGCTAAGGAGGAGGGCTCTCCCACCCCTCCTGAAGAGCACTTTGTGTTGGGGCCTTCTTGGATAACTACCACTTGTAGTAGAAATGTCTGCAGTTTACCAGTCTGTGTCACATAGGAGGGATGAAATATTTGTCTTTGTTACGTCAGTAGTATAGGGTGAGATCTCCACACCTTTAAAAATATATATTTATATAACTAGAGAGGTGACTTATAACATTTCTATGTATTAGTTCATCTTATTGACTCATACATGTCTAAGAATGAAATATTTTCTTGGGGATTTAAGGGAGGTTACCAACCAACTTAAAAAACCAAAATGCCTTACAACCACTGCTTCTTTCAATAAACCCGAACTACATATACTTTAATATACAAAACCCCATCCTCATATTCACTTGTGAAGCAAGTGGTGGGGGGGAGAAGATTAGACAACCTTGCAGCAGCATTCAGCTTTGCTAAGTGTTCCATAGCATCTTAAATATTATGTACAGTCTTTCTGAAAGGATACAAACTGGCTTCAGAGTTTGTGGAATTGTAGCAGTAAAACCCAAAACAGTTCTAGGGAATAGTCTTTTGGCAGCATAGCAGGTGTCCAAAGTGAACAGTCACTTTTCTAGTATTTTTCCAGAGAGTAAGAGAATCTGTATAACCTTCTGCAGCTATCCAAGGAAGTCACCACTCCTCTTGGGTGGAGATTGCTGGAGATTGTGGTCCTTCTTGTTCTGGCTTTTCAGTGGCAGACTTTTTATTGCTACAGCAAGGTTTGAAGAGATGAGTGTCTATGAGGACTTCACCAAAACGCCCTTTGTAAATAATTCCACAGCAGACCTTTTGCCTGGAAGAAATGGCAGGGAGAGAGACAGATAGTTTGTGTGTTTAGAATACACAGAATTTACAGAAATGCAAAAAATCAGTTTGACCCAAGACACTACTTTTCTGAGCCTCCAGCTCAGAGGATAGGAGGGAGAAGGCTGCTCAGAAAGAGAAAACAAGTCTGTGTTTAAATCCACAACACCGCTTTGAGGGAAAAAAAAAAAAAAAGAAAATTAAAAAAAAACCCCAAACCAAAATGCATGCCTATACAAAACTAAGTCTCCCATTTTGCTTCCCAGAGAAGCTTCAGATAAAAAACCATCTGGGCTGAACTATAACCTTGACTACAATGTGCTTGCAAGCACTATTTGACAGGAGGCAGCAAAGTCACAACAATTTCAATAGAGCAATTAGCTAAACAAGGGATTACTATGTCACAACAGGCAATAAAAAATAACAAGCTCATCAGCTCCACGAAAATCTTGTGGTTTTCCTCCCACTCTGGATTTTTTTTTTGTTTTAAATGACTACTATCCCAGGTCAACCAAATCAAATGCTATGTTTTGCTGGCAAGCTGAGAGCACTGTTGTACTGGGTAACACATCATGTCTACAGAGCACATTTTAAGACGAGATAGTGACAGTCAGGAACGTTATCTGTTACTCCTGAAAATGTAAAAATATTTTGCAGCAACTGTATTAGTATTTAGGGAACTGGATGGATATAAGGGAAAATGTCTTAAGCACATGGAGTTTCTTTCTTTCCTAAGACAGACGGATATTGTACAATATTCCGTGACTTAAATTATATCCTTAAAACAAATTAAGTTCAGCAGCAGCAAATTCCTGAAGAAGCAGAATCGAGCACTGTGTATGTGAAGTGAATTGCTATCTGCAGAGTGCACGTTCTGTTGCTTTTTACCTTTTCCAATACGTGAGATCTAAAAAGGAGAAAACCGGTGTTCTGCTGGACCCAGCGCTCATCTCTGTGTCAGAGCCATCGTCAGACTGGTTACTGTAACAGGGTGACTGAGCTGGGGAGGCACTCGAAGTGGTGCTGTGGGCATCGGAATCTGTAGGGGAAAGAACAAATGCAAGAATCAGGACATGCATCCAACAACTTATCCTCTTCCTGACTTGTAAAAGGTCACATGTGGATTGGGAACAGAGACACAGACTTTCTTTAATTTAACAAGAAAAACCTAACGGCAACCTGTTTTTTTCACTTGCCCCTGCCGATTTCAATAGAGAGACTATCTGCCAGCATTTGGGAGACAGACCTCGGAACTGGAGGGGGTCCTCGTACACAAGGGACTGGAAAGAGGTTCAGGATTAGGATTCAGTTTCTGGCCCTCAAACATAGCCTGTGCAGGCCACGCTTTGGACAAGATCCTAGTCCTGCTCTGGAATCATTGGAAGATCCTTGAAGACAACATGGGATCTGTGCTTCAGACCTAGTACTTTCTCTCTCACTGTAAAATCTTACCTATTGAGTTAAAGTCTTGCAAAGCTCCTCTCATTAGTGCAATTGGTTGGGTAGCATTGAGCTTTTGCTGGATTGAGACTGTGAACTATGGACTCGGTGCAGACACATACCTTAACAGAGGGTCTACTAGCCTACCTTTTGCACCTACAGCAACACAATTAGATTAACTATAGCACATTGAATGAGGAGATACAATCTCTTTGGGTCAGGGCCTTTACCCATTCTTTGGAGAGCTTTTCCTTCAGGCCAGGTAGGATAATTGAAAGAGACAAGACCAAGTCAGGATCAGTTAAGAAGCTGGAAGGTTTGCTTTAGAGTAAAAACCTGAAGTACCAATATATAGGTAGAGCATAACTGGCAGATGGCTTTGTTGGAAAGCTACGAATCCAAATCTATTTGAAGAGCCTAAGTGCTGGTGGAAAGAAATCACAGAGACTGGCAGAGGAAGGCATAGGCAAACTATACAGAGGAAACACAGTAGGAATTTAAAGGCAAGAAAAAAAAATCCAGGCTAAATAGAAAGCCTGGGTGGAAAACATGCATGGAAGAGGAAGACTGGTAGCAGTATCAACAGAACATTCATGGGAAGAGAGCTGAAAATTACCATAGTGTATTACTGAGAGCAGAGGGAAACCTCCTCCAACTTCAGTTTCAATTGAGTGTCTTGCCCAATAAGTTCTTTCTAGTGACATGTCATTTAAGTGTGGGACATAAGCTACAATTGCCTACACTTTCAAGCCAGGCTCCCCATTCCCCCACCTCTGTTCTGCAGCCCACCTGACACACAAGCTCTTCCTCCTCATTCCACCCCCTCCCCAATGCCCTCGGAGGATGAGAGGTTGTGAAAAACAGGGAGCGCCCAAATGTGTGAGCATATGATTGAATCTAGATGGTGATTCAGCTTGGCCAGTTAACAGTAAGCTATGTTAGGGGTGGCCAAAGTTTATTGCCAAAATCTCTTTGGATCCACTTACTGTGCCGCTTGAATTCCTTTTGCAGTTTGCTGATTTGATTGCTCTTTATTCTGCTTCCAGACAGAGTTTTCATTTTCTTTGGTTTCAATGTTGTTTTAAGACTGGGTCCAGCCCTGGCATCTACCACCTAGAACACAGAAAATGCATGCATAATACTTCTGCATCACACCCAGATACTGCTCTAATCAAGGTACCTGTACTGACTTATCTGAAGGTGTTCAAAACCAATTTAGTTAAACCAAGGGAGTTCTGTGCACCAACGCTCTTATGTTTCATTTAGATCTGGTTTGTAAGAGGCTAAGCCTGTAGGAAAATGTAGCAAACTAGTTTAAAAAGCACACTCAGTTCAACTTTTGCCTTCTTCCTGTTTTTGACAAACTCAGTTTAGAAGACAACAGTTGCTAAAGCCAATACAAGTTCAGTTAAAAGAGTATTTTCCACACCTTTGCCCTGGAGTTTTTTTAAAAAAATCATCATTTAACTTCTGAATAAAGCTAGTGGTAGTAATAACCATAGTTCTGGCTCCCATCACCATCCAGGCTTCCTGAATAAAGATTATAACATACACAAAGAATCCCGATCATCTTCCCAGCCCTAGGCCCAAACTGAATTAAGTATCAAAACAGAATATATGAGTGGAAATAGCTGCGAGATATTAGTTATTGTAATCATCTGACTAAACATGTTGCTTAAGCAAGTCACCTTGCTTGTTCAAACTATTAAAAAAAACCAACCAGTGACCAATTTTGGACAGAAGCCAAATTTGAAATGTTTTGAGTGTCCTAAGAGACTTTTGGACAAAGTTACAAGCTTGTGAAAACAAGGAATTACAAGGTAAGTTAGTCTGTGACTCCATCCTGGGCTTGCATAATCACATAAGCCAAACGAAGACAGATAAGAGCCATGTAGCAGGAAATACTCCAGGAAGGATTTAGAGATGCTGAGGGTGGGACGGGAGACTGTGGGGGAAATAGCAAATCCCAAATCCTTGCCAGCACCTCCCCTCTCTAGCAGGATGGACTAAAGCACAGATGAGTTAGTTTTGGGGTGGAGGAGAAATAAATTACTAACGTGATTCCAGTTTTTTTTGGATCCTGCTGGCAATTTTTTCCATCTTTTCACCAAAAGGACGCAGGCATTGCAAATATCTCCTGAGCGGGCCTCATGGAGCCTGGTAAAAACAAAAGTTAAAATCACTTGGTAACAGTTAATAAAAGCACTCCCCCACTTGAAAACAGCAAGAAGCATATACATTGACAGAAAAGAGGGTTCTCAAGTTCTGTTTTTCAGGCATTACAATTCATCTGGGGCGTTCAAACATTGCCATTTAAAGACCAAGCCTCACTTTCCGAAAGCACTCTTCTCTTCCACATAGAAATAAAAGGTGTTTCAATCTGCCTCCAGGGGGGCACTAAAACCAGCAGTCCCATTACCTTCAGCTGTTTAAAAAAAAAACAACCAAAAAACCCAAACAACCCAACAAAACCCCCAAAAACTACTACTGTTTCAGTGGGTTGGTTAGTTTGACTGGAGAGGGAGGGAGGAGGAATAATCATATTCCTTGAATGTGCATTTGGGAACAGACCTCAGAGATCTGGCAAAAGCTTATTCATCTCTTAACTTTCTCACAGAGCTTCAAGGATGAGTAACAAATACCGCCTAACACACTCCTGCATAAGCATAGAATAAGGATTCAGAAACAGTGTTCACTGGAATGACAGCGATACTCGCTCCCTTTAATGAGCTTTCTTCAGAAATTATAAAGGGGATGCACTGTGGAATTTTTCAGCTATTCAAATGTGAAGACTTTGAAGCATTTATAGATGAACCGGGCAGGCTCAGATAAGCCATTATTTGCTTAGTGTTAAGACTGCATTTTTACCTTGGCAAACACATTTCAGATAGCACAAGACCAAAGGCCCTGGTATACTGCAAGCTTCTTTACTGTTTCTTAACAAAAACAAAATTGCAAAGGGCCTTCACACAGTCTTTTCACTGCCAAGGACAGTAGCCAAGAAATATGACAAGGAAAATTGTCAGCATCAGATTTATGTACAAAAATCCACGGTAAATACAAAGCTCTATAAAGCTTTGGGTTTGTCCTTTCAACATTTGAAAGGAGTGTTTCTAGAAAAAGGGGAAGAGAGGGAAGTATTTCTAAAGATTGCGAAGATTTACACATATGAAGTTCAGCACTTGAGATAAGAGCAGCAATACTGATATGTATATGTAGTTTTTAATATGATGCATGAAAGTTCCGCTTGGGCCTAAGGTTTTGATGAGAGGCAACCCAACCAGACCAGAAAGAGAAAGCAGGAAATATCTATTGACAACAATTTTTTTTCCAGGGGAAATAATTTCATGGAAAACTACAGCAGAAACAGAAGAAATTCTCGTTGCCTCAAAAAAAAAATTCAAAATAAACAAAGTAAAAAATAACTACAAGCTATCACAGAAGAATTTGCTTTGCTGACAATTGGGGGACACAAATTTAGACAGAATTTTAAAGTTGTTAGGAGTTATTTCAAAAAAGTTAAAAGGTCACAGTAGCTGGTACAAGGAATCACTGGTATTTATGTTTTTGCTTACAATGCTTTCAGGTAACATTACGTGCAACATTACGTAATTGGAAAGCTAATTACTTGATGCTCACTTTCCATCAGAATGGGTTTCCAATGAGAAGTTTTAATAACATCGTGATATGCCCTATTTGAACAAAGGCACCAATACGTGAAACAAGGTACTGTGCATAAACCCTGCTGGAACTGCTAAATATTTACCCCTCAAGTTTTGTTTAACATTCTTGAGTCTTCAGAGCCACAGAAAACCTCCATGGACCTGTGCTGTTCACCATCTCCTATGCGAATTTACACCTCTAAGGAACATGTGCAAAATGTACAGTCTGAGAGGGGTCTAAATCCCTGCATGTGCTGTGAGGTGGGAGAGGCGCGAGCCTGACCCCTTGCCGTTAGGAGCTCCAGCAGCTCTCCGTTGGCAGCAACAGCGGGACTGACAACTAAATGGAACCATACACAGCAGCAGAGGATCCAACCCCTCCTGGCCTGGCCAGGAAAGCTGTGAGGAAGCTGAAGCCAGCCTTCCCCCACCACCCACCTCTGCTAACCTCATCTTTCAGGCTCTCAGAGCAAGAGGGACAGCACGTCAGGTTCGTGGCCCTGAGATCAACACCATGACTGACCACAATGTTGGCTAAAGAAAGAATCTTACCCAAAACAATTCTGGAAATCCTTTTCATAACGCTTGCTGTCAGTGAAGCGAGAACTGGAAGACTTAGCTCTGCAAATACAGCAGCCCTCTATACTCCGATACATCTTCGGCTTGTGAAACCCGAACATCTTTTCCTCCTAGCCGGAGCCTGTGAAAACAAACAGGAACTGTTGTTACTTATCACTGTTGGATACTGAAAGAAAAACCTGGGCAATTCACTGGGCAAACCAAAAGTAAATTATAATTCAGGACGGGGAACTGCTAGATTATGCCACAGCTCTATCCTGCGTTGCCCCAGAAGAGCAGATGCACCTAGAATATACTTTCTTATTAAAAAAAAAACCCAAAATTAACAACAGCTGGAATATTAAGCAATACCCAGCACGACTCGCAACGAGCTCATTTACTGCACAATTCTACTCTAAGGGCACATCTACAACAGCACAACCCAGAGGTGTGAATGCAGCTGACTCGGCTAATGAAAGCCCTGCGTATGTGGCAAAACAGGCTGCAGGACAGGCTGTGTAAGCCTGCCCCAGCCCCTGGATAAGTAGTTGGCAGCTGAACCCTGGGTCACTGGAACTACCTCGTCATCATCACCGGTGTCTGCTGGAAACATCCCTGCCAAACTTTGTTGAAAGCGAGGAGGAGTCATTTTAAATGAGCTGCAGTCGTACCTCTAGGCTGTAGGGCAGACATACCTGAAAAGCCGCCCTAAAACCAGCAAGGGTGGAGTCCCACCCAGCCCTTCATGGCCATGGCTGCACTGCGGGACCCAGGAGCACTTCTTGACTCTCGAGCCTGGGTGAGCATCCCAGCCACATCCCAGCTCCGTGTCAGCACAGGCTCGGTTCTCGCCTTCCCCGCCCTGCTTTCCATGGGAAGGAAACCCAGGTAGAGAAGGGCTGGAGAGCAGGACCCTGAGGCGCGTTTCAGCATGCGCCTACCACACATCCCAGCCACCGCCAATGACGCCGGAGCAAAAGGCACTGCATTTACAGGGAGGTGGTTTCTTCTCAACCACCAGCTCTGCAAACTCGGCACCGGCTCGGAAAGCCAAAAGCCGTGCTGCTCTTAGAGGTCTGCCTACCCTTTTCAGTACATCTGGGCTGGGATTTGCTATCAGAGCAGGTAACGTCCAGAGGAGGTGTTTTCCAGGCAGAAACTTTTAAAAAGTTGGTTACAAGTAGATTTACTGTGGTCACCACGACAAAGACCCCTTCAACATATGACGCCCCTGCCACCAAATCAGTTCTCCCCTGGCACCAGTTACTCCCCAGTCCAGACTCCTGCTAGGCGCAGTCTGGTGCGGCACGAGAAGCTGTCAGAGCAAACAGAGCTCCCACAGCGCTTCAGAAAAACAAACCAACAACGGAGCAAAGCCGGTGCTTTCCTGGCGCTGGGCCTGGACACACAGCAAGTCCTCACAGGCCACACAGCATCTGTCTCCTAACACAGGTGGGGACCGTTCCCAGAGGTTCTCTCAAATGGACCACAGGGCAAGGTTTTGCCTCAAGCACCCGCTGCAGGGAGCGAGCAGCCACCTCTGCTGCTGCTTATCACACGCCAACTGCTCAGAGAGGCGACAGGCCACCGGCTGCAGGAAGCTCCATGAGAACAGGTTCCAACTGCTGAGAACTTCTGCTTTTAAAGAATTAAAATTAGACCGAGCCATGCAAATAACACAAGATTTCCCCCCTTTCCTTAATAAAAGGCCAAGCCTTTATATTCTTGTAGAAGCTAACAGAAAACTACCTCTCCTTCCCACAGATACTACTGAAAGACCTGGCAGCTCAGGCAGGACTTTTGGGAGAGCAGCACCTCCATCACTTGTGGGCGAGTCTGGCAAGAGGGAACTCCCAGCCACTTCTCAGTCGCAGGGATCGCCAAGTCCCTGCAACCCAACTTGGATTACTGGTGAGTACATGTGGCATAGGGATCTGTCCCCAAATCTTCCACCTGCAGGAAGGTAAGGGACATAATTCTAATATCCTCCAGAGGGACAGAGAAAATTAACCTGAAATCTTCAGTCTACAGCACCAAGACTTGCCACATCATTACCACAATAAAGTAACGTATGGTACTCAGCACTGGTGAGGCTGCACCTTGAATACTGCCTTCAGGTTTGGGCCCCTCACTACAAGAAGGACATTGAGGTGCTGGAGCGTGTCCAGAGAAGGGCAACAAAGCTGGTGAGGGGTCTGGAGCACAAGTCCTGTGAGGAGCAGCTGAGGGAACTGGGGTTGTTCAGCCTGGAGAAGAGGAGGCTGAGGAGAAGACCTTCTCACTCTCTACAACTGTCTGACAGGAGGCTGTAGTGAGGTGGGTGTTGGTCTCTTCTCCCATGCAACAAGCGATAGGATGGGAGGAAATGGCCTCAAGTTGCATCGGGGGAGGTTTGGATTGGGTATCAGCAAAAGCGAGTGAACCACCCAGGCCTAGTCACAGTCCTCCACACAGAGGTAAAAATACAACCCCCCACCCCAGAGGGGAAGATCAGAGCATGACAGCACTGCAAATAAACACACAAGGTTCTGCACAAAGTTCCCTGGCTTCTGAGAATTACAGAAAAGCAAAAATTTTATCTAATATTGTTGGGTAATACCCTTCTATGAAATCCATTAAGGAACCCATATGCAGCTGAACGTGTACATGTTTACATTTCAGTCTAGCATATTATAATACAAGACCACTCAGTGCCCACTGAGGTTGTGTCTCCTTGCAATTACTACTGCACAAACATGTAGAAAGACACAGGTCAACTCTCCAAAAAGCTTGTCTTGACCAAATGCCTTGCAGAGCATGTTGACAGCAAGGGACTTGAGAAAGAGGTGGAAGGGATAGGTCTTTCCCTCCCTCCTGTCCCAACTCACGCCATCTGCCACAGGCTTGAAGTGCTGTGTTCCTTTCTTTTGTGCACATTTACAGCACAAGCTCACCCAGGGCTGGTTTCTCACAAGGATGACTTGTGCAAATATCCAGTCAAGTCACCCCAAATGCTGCCAGGCTTCTTACGAGACTCATCGCTCCCTCTATTAGTACATCATTGGCCTGAAGGCCAGGAGCAGCTGTAGTAAGTAGAAGGTGTCCAACTAGTGACCTGCTGAATGGGTTTGTGAGGGATGGTTAGACTCAGAACTACTCTCTGCTTCTGCTGAAGTATGTTTTCAGGAACACTTAGCAAATGAACTTGAATGCGCAGCCAAATCAGGTTAGTATCTGTGGACTGCCAAGACAAATAAACAACAGAGAGTCTAGGCAAACACTTGACTATGTATTTTGTTTCTTAGCATCTGATGTGCTCTTTCAACAGACAGTCTCTGGAGGACACTGTGTTTAACAAGCCTCTGGAGATCCAACAGCATGTTCACCTGGGAATTTCCAACTACCAAGCAGCGATTTTAGATTTTGACGACCCCAACGTTAAGTCTGTGGTCTGGTGCTCTTCTTTAGAAAGGCAAAGACTAACTGCAGACACAAAACTTCAGCAGCAAGAACATCTTGACTGTTACAGGGCAAGACACAGAACCGATCTCAACAATTTGATTTACTTTCTAACCCAGTTTCTCCCAGAAATCCAGACGCTGATGAGATGATCTCTGCCACCAGCTGGTATTTATACCGCAGTAGAAAAAAGACACATGTTTTACAATTAATGTTCTGGCAAAGGCTGGCATCGGACACGTATATTCTGAAAATATTTTGTTTTGCATCGTGGCTGCCATTCTCAGAGGAGCAGCCTTTCAACACAATCTTTCAATAGAAGGGAAACTAGTGCCATCTGTTTCCCACTTGATGAATGGTCAGCAACAGTATTACCGTATATCATGCCTGAATGGGGAAGAGCTAGTAGCAAAACCACAAGTAAAACAGATTTCTCTGACAACTGCATCGAAGTGCAGTTATAAATGGAAGGCGTCAGTCGAGTTACACATTTAATCCTAAACAGTTGCCATTTGACCATTATACACTAAATATTCTGTCAGCTGGAGCGCTTAATAGCTAATGTAGAAGCATTTGAGTCTAGAAGTTCGTACCAGCAGCACTAAACTTAAAGCTCTCTGTCTCAGCTTCCACTCTAAACCATAATTACATGTCTAGTGCTGGAGTTGACACTACATTTCTATAGACTTAAGTGTACTTAGAAGTATGTATGACTGGACCCTTTAAAAGGTTTAACTTGAAAGCTTTGCAATTTAGATCTCAAATTAGAACCAGGGAATAAGACTGCCAGCTACCCTAACACCTGAATCTTAGCCCACGAAAACTTGGGACAGATAGAAAGATGGCACGTAGGAACATAGCTCCACAGAAGTTAAAAAGCATTACACAAAATAATTTTGCCAAATTTAAGTATGTTATTGAAATATATGACATCTTTTAAACCAGCCGTTGCACATAAGTGAAAGGGACAGCTCGCCAGCAAAAAAACAGAAATCCTAGTGGAGCATATCTGTCATCCTGCAGAAATGGAGGTTTACCTGCACTAGTAGGGGAGCAGTATTCCCCCAAGTCAGGGGAAAGGTTGTCCTCCTCCTCCCTGGTCTCCCTGCAAAAGAAGTTGCTATTCCCCCAAGTTCTGCTTTTAACAACTGCTTCAGCAGCTTGAATGGACTCAGAAAAGACTGCGGGAACTAGTTCTCTCCATCCCTCTTCCCTCCCACTTTTGGAAAAGCAGCATCAAAAATAGAGACTTGTCTTGCAAAGAATTTGGAGTCAGGCAGAGAACAGAAAAGTAGGTGGGGAATAAAAAAAAACCACCCACAACCTGCTTATTACATTTGTGAAAGGCTGGCACAAAGCAGCATGCATCATATGTGTGTGAGAATGGTTTCATGCTTTCATTACCTGTCAGGACTAGAATTTGATGCTTAAGTTTTCTTCGCAAAATTTAATTTGATGATCTAAATTAAAAGGAGGTATTGCTTCAGACGCTCATTAACTTTCCAAGTTAGGGAAGAACTGCTGAAGTCTTTTAGATTTTAAAGTAAGAAAACCTGAGCCACTTTCATTTGCCTTTCCAGATTCCTTCTGCATTCTTTCTGATCACCCAAGAAGAATGAAAACCATTTATAATAGAAAGGAAGGAATTCCTAGAAGGCAGGCATGTCTCCCTTTGTAACACAATTAT